TCCCCCATGAAAGCATTCGGGATGAAGAACTCGTCCCCGGGGAAGGGGTCCAGACTTCGGGGGTCCACGTGGTGAGAAAATCGAGGCGTGTGGCATTCCTGGGGCCTCGGCAGGCGCTGGGCCCTCTCTGGGAAAATCGCCGTGGCCGACCTCTCCGTGCGCCGCGCCGTTCTCCCCGGGGCCGTGGGTATCCGGGAGCGCGCCTGGGATCCAGGACGTGGCCGGGTGGGCGGCCCCTCTCGCTGCTGCCATTCTGTCGGGCGTGTCCCCCTAACAGGGGGATTTTCGACGAAGAATAAAACATACCCCAAAAATACCCCCAAAAGGCCAAAAAATACTCAAATAATAGTCCCCAGACTATGTTTAGACTATTTTTTGATTGTTTTTGGGGTATTTCTTTTTTCGTCGAAAATCCCCTTGTAGGGGGACAGGCCCGACTTAATGCTTCCAGCCCTGGAACTCGGGGTCCGCTTGGGGTGGGTGGGCTCGTTAACCCACGCGCCCTGGCCGCCGTGCGGCGCGGTGCGATCATTCCTGCCCTGACCGCTCTCTTAGGGCACCCTGCTCCTTGGGGGGGGGGGGGCGGCGTTCGAGGCTTCAGCGAGGCTGCACAGCACGCCCTCCCAGTCCCAGACCCCCTCGAGTTATGAAAAAATCACGACGGGAGGTTTTTCATTATTTTTGGCCTTTGGGGGCCCCTACCGGCCCTCGGGACCGCCAAAAAACGCCTCAGGACGAAAAACCGGTCCTGGGGAATGGGTCGAGACCTCGGGGGGTCGACGTCATGAAAAAATCATGACGTCGGGGGTCCCAGACCCCCGACGTCGTGAATTTTTCATGACGTCGACCCCCCGAGGTCTCGACCCATTCCCCGGGACCGTTTTTTCGTCCTGAGTCGTTTTTTGACGGTCCCGAGGGCCGGTAAGGGATCCCAAAGGCCAAAAGTAATCAAAAACCTCCCGTCGTGATTTTTTCATAACTCGAGGGGGTCTGGGTTCGAGGCTTCAGCGAGGCTGCACAGCACGCCCTCCCAGTCGTGGCCCAGCGCCTCCTGCAGCCCTCGGGCCAAGGACCGGCCGCCTGGGTACGACGAGGCTGGGCATCGGCGCGGTGCACGCCGAGCTCTCGGGGGGCGCCTGCTTGGCGCGACCGGCACCGGAGCCTCGCACGATGCTCGCTGTCTGGCGGGGTGGTGCAGCTCGGGCCCCCCGCCCGGCGCGGGCCCAGACCCCCTCGAGTTATGAACAAATCACGACGGGAGGTTTTCCACAATTTTTGGCCTTCGGGGGCCCTTACCGGCCCTCGGGACCGTCGAAAAACGACTCAGGACGAAAAACCGGTCCCGGGGAATGGGTCGAGACCTCGGGGGGTCGACGTCATGAAAAAATCATGACGTCGGGGGTCTGGGGGCGCAGCAGGCACGCTCAGGCTTGCCCTTGGCGTCCCGAGCCCCACTGCTCGGCACGCCGCCCGCCTCGGCGCCCAGTTCCGGGCCCCTTCGGGGCGGTGGGCTGCTCGGCCACACGGCCACGGCCAAGCCTTGCTGGGTCGCATGTTCGGCCAGTGCCAGGTCGCGGCCCGTCGCCTCGGCTTCGGGAGCCCTCCCTCCGCCCGGCGAGGCCTCTGCGGCGGTGGCGGCGCGGGCCGTCCTGGGCGCTTCCCTCGACAACCCTGGCGGCACACGGGACGACGGCGGCGGCCGCGGGGCCGACTCCCACGACGACGCCGAGACCGACGCCGCCATGATTTTTTCATGACGTCGACCCCCCGAGGTCTCGACCCATTCAGCGTGACCGGTTTTTCGCTCTGAGTCGTTTTTTGACGGCCCCGAGGGCCGGTAAGGGCCCCCAAAGGCCAAAAATAGTGAAAAACCTCCCGTCGTGATTTTTTCATAACTCGAGGGGGTCTGGGACCGACGACGCCGAGATCCACAGCACCAACGGTGACGAATACGCTCTGGCGGCCTCTCCTCCGGCGGCCCCCCTGGCGGCTGCGGGCGGTGGCGGGGGCGCGGCGCGCGCGCCGGGCGACCACCCCCGGAGGAGCCCCGTGCCGGGGGACTCTCAGGAGAGGAAAAAACACACACAGACACAATGAATCCTCGATTCCCCCGAAAATCTGGGAAACTATGGGGAGCGGGGGGAAGGACAGGAACCCAGAAAACATGGGAAACTATGGGGAATAGTTTTATTTGTGTGTGTTTATTTAATCGCTTCGCTCATGCCGCCGGCCCTGGAGCCCTCTTTAGGGCCTCTTGGGGGCCTCTAGGGGACCTCTTGGGAGTCTCTTGGGGCTCCTTGGCGGCGTTTTGGAGGCCCCCAGGGCCTCTTGGGGGGCTCTTGGGGGTAGTCGATTGCGGCTCCCCCCTCGGAGTTTTGTTTGTGTGTGTGTGTGTTTGTTTGTGTGTCCTGGGGCCCCTTCAGACTATGGGAAACTATGGGAAATCGGGGGAAACTATGTGTTTGTTTGTGTGTTTGTCTGGGAAACTATGGGAAGCGGGGGGAAAGACAGGAACCCAGAACACGTGGGAAACTATGGGGAATCTTTTTGATTTGTGTGTGTTTCTTTGTGTGTCCTGGGGCCCCTTTCAGACTCCGGCTGCGAGACGAAGGCGCCACGGCCCTCGGCGGCGCGACCCGGACTCCGGATCCGCCCCACTTTGGCTTTTTGTTCCAACTCAAAATGGCGTCGGAAATCCACCTCCTCCTCCTCCTCCTCCTCCTCCTCCTCCTCCTTTGGCTTTTTGTTCCAACTCAAAATGGCGTCGGAAATCCACCTCCTCCTCCTCCTCCTCCTCCTCCTCCTCCTCCTCCTCTTCCTCCCCTCCTCCTCCTCCTCCTCCTCCTCCCCTCCTACCCTCCTCCTCCTCCCTTCATCCCCTCCCCCCCCCCTCCAGGCCTTCTCGCCCAGGAGTCGTTTCCAGTGGACGCCCTGACTCCGGGTCCGCCCTACTTTGGCTTTTTTTTTCCAACTTGAAATTGCGTCGGAAATCCACCTAGAAGAGGCCGAAGAAGGAGGAGGAGGAGGAGGAGGAGGAGGAGGAGGAAGAGGGGGAAGGGCTGTGAACGCACAGGCTTAGTGACACCCGAGAGCCTGACTCTTGAAAGTCTCGAGCGGGAGCCTCCCCTGACTCCGGATCCGCCCCACTTTGGCTTTTTTTCCAACTTGAAATTGCGTCGGAAATCCACCTGGAAGAGGCCGAAGAAGTAGGGCGGAAATTGCTGCGCCCGACATAAACTAGGGCGGAAATCCACCGAAACAGCAACAGAAAAGCAGGGCGGAAATTGGCATCAGCGGGGCTTGAAAAGTAAGGCGGAAATTCCAAGCCCCACTTACGAATTTCCCCAAAGTAGGGCGGATCCGGAGTCAGGGGACCCGGGCCAGGCGGGGGCCCAGGCAGCGGCGGCGAGGCGGCGATCCCACGAGGAGGTGGCGGCGGCGGCCCCAGCGCGGCAGAGTCGACCTCGGCGGGACGACGTCGACCCCGTCGACTTCCGACTTCAGCCTCTGGGTCTGTTGCTGGTGTTCTTGGTGGTGCGGGTTGTAGCGCCTGTCCGGCCCATGCCTCCATTCCCCTCCCGACGCTTCCCCCTCGCGACCAGGAGCGCCCTTGATCCTGGTGTAGCGTTCGGCTCCACTGACGACGGCGGGCCGCATGGTCAGCATGTACTGCCCGAGTTTCACTGGCCAGCGTGGCGCCTCGTCGCTGCCATCCGCGCGGCGGCGGCCCCCACTTTTCCCCCCCCTTGGCAGCAGCCACGACACAGGCAGCGTGCTGGTGAACATCGAGTGCGGGGTCGCCCTGGCAGCCTTCGCGTCATCCTTAGAGCCTCCGAGCCCCTCGGAGCCCTTCGGCCCCAGGGGACGTCAGAGGGCGTCAAGGGGGGGCGCTTCCAGGCAGCATGCGCTCTTGGCCCTGGAGGCGTGGGCAGCACCGTGGCCGCGACCTCCGCTGACTGAAAGCAGTGACCCGACAGGCTGAGAACCGAGCAGAGACGAGCGGGAGGAGGAGGAAGAGGAGGAGGAGGAGGAGGAGGAGGAGGAGGAGTAGGAGGAAAGGAGGAGGAGGAGGAGGAGGAGGAAAGGAGGAGGAGGGGAGGAAAGGAGGAGGAAGGAGGGGGAGGAGGAGGAGGAGGAGGAGTAGAGGAGAAGGAGGAGGAGGAGGAGGAGGAGGAGGAGGAGGGAGGCGAGGGAGGGGCGGGGCGAGGGGGGTGCCTGCGCCGCCCGCTCTGCAGACTGTGGTGGCGCACGAGGCGGGGAGGTCCTGGCGGATCAAGGCCTTCTGCTTGGAGATTCGGCATCCTTCCTTGTTATTTTCCTGGCTCGAGGATCCCAAACCTCCGTGGACCTCCAGTCTGGAGGAACAACAAGTCTTCCATCATGGGGACCGAACCATACATTGGAGATTCGGCATCCCTCATTCCCCAATCAGAGCTTGCCTCTGTGGGGGTCCAAGCGGATTCATATGGTTAGGTTAGGTTTGCCGCCAGTGTTCGCCGCACGCCCCGGTGCACCTATAGCCCTATAGCCCTCCGGCTCTCTAGCCCTCCAGCCCTATAGCCCTATAGCCCTTTAGCCCCATAGCCCTACATCCTTAAAAAGATTATGAATGGGGTTCTTCTCTGGTATCATTGTTATTTTGCCGGCTCGAGGATCCCAAACCTCCTTGGACCTCCAGTCTGGAGGAACAACAAGTCTTCCATCATGGGGATCGAACCATGCTTTGGGGAGTCTGGGGGCTTCTGGTAGAGGCTTCCGAGCCCTCCTCGGGAAGCAACCTGCCCTGGTCAGAAGGCCAACCCGATTTGGGATTCGGTGGCTTCTGGTATCGGCCACCTTCCCCAAACAGGGCTTGCACTTACAGTGCCGTTTTTAATACATGCTCCGCGTGCGGGGATCACGTATTTAAGATGCAGGGATTCAGTATCAAAGACAACGATGAGTTCGTGCATAAATTTATATATAACTTAATCATGTATGTAAAAATCCAATGTCTTTAAACATCCAATGTTTTAAAAACTACCCTGTAAGGGCTCTTACTTCTGCTCCACGGGAACTGGGCCTGGGTGGCGGCCTGGCGGCCGTCGCCGCCCCGTCGCCGCCCCGTCGCCGCCTCGTCGTCTGGGCCTGGGTGGCGGTCTGGCGGCTACGTGCACGCCGACGCCGCCCCGTCGTCGCCCCGTCGCCGCCCAAGATTGCACAGCAGAGAGTTGCACCACACATGCTGCACAGCATCCGTTGCTCAACACATACTGTACCACATGGGTTGCACCACAGAGGGTGCACAGCACAGATGGCTCCACCAAGATTGCACAACATAGATTGGACAGCATAGATTCTCCTTTCTACAAAGAGAATAGACTCTACCCCCCCCCCCGGACTTATCGGTTCCCCTTGGGATATTATGATTTCATGTATTTTCTGCACACTCGTCCATCCTAAATATGAAATCAAACCATCCCAGGCAGGCCGGGTTCCCCCCCCCCTGAGGTTCCCTTGTAAAAACAGTATGCGGTGACATGGTTTGTTCTACGTAGCACTTTTTCATGAATCCCTTGCAAACAATGGGACGAAGTGCACACGCGCGCGTCGTCGCGCGCGCATGCCGAAATCCTTCAAAAACCTTCGGTGCTGGAAGGATTTCGCAATCGAGTTTCCAAACAACATACAAAAACACATGGTTTCGCCACACTGATTTGCTAAAAAAGCTTCCGCGCGAGCTCACTACCAAACGGGCTTCGCGCGCGAGCATGTCGAAATCTGACGAACGCCCTTGCGCGTGTGCCGTCGCGAGAATCCTTTGCAAAAAATGCGACGAAGTGCAGACGCGCGCGTCGTCGCGGGCGTATGCCGAAAACCTTCATAACCCATCGGTTTCGGAAGGATTTCAAAATCGTGCGTCCAAAAAACCTACAAACACCCAGGGTTTCGCAACACGGATTTTCAACAAAAGCGTGCGCGCGCGCTCTTGCGTCGTCGTCGTCGTCGTCGCCGTCCTCCTCCTCCCGCGTCGTCGTCGTCGTCGCCTACGTCGTCCCTCTGTCTTTCTCGTGTTCGTCGTCGTCGTCTCTCTTTGGCGTCGTGGTCGTTTCGTCGTCGTTTGTTCCGCCGTGTCGTCTGTCTCCTCCCCACGTTCGTTCGTCGTCGTCGTCGTCGGCGTTCGTCGTCGTCCCTCCTATTTCGTCGCCGTCGTCGTCGTCGTTGTTCGGTCTTTCCTCTCTTCGTCGTTGTCGTTGTGTCGTCGGCGTCGCCGTCCTTCCTCCTTCGTCGTCGTTCGCGTCGTCGCCGTCCTCCCTCCTCCCTCGTCGTTGTCGTCGTTGTCGTCGTTTCGTCATTGTCGCCGTCGTCGTCCTTCCTCCTCCCCCTCGTGTCGCCTTCGTTGGCGTCGTCGTCGTGTCTTCGTCGTCGCCGGCGTCGGCGTCGTTGTCGTCGTCGAAGTCGTCGGAGACGTCGTCGGTGTCGTCCTAGTCGTTGTCGTCGGTGTCGTCGTAGTCGGTCTTAAGAGGTTTTGCAAACCAAGTTGCGGGTGGGTGGGTGGGATGTTTGCATGAGCAGTGGAGAGGACAGCTTCAAGACAGTCGAAGTGGGTTGCACCACGTAGATTGTACCACATAGATCGCCCCACGTTTTTTGCACAACGTAGGTGGCCAGAAACACACTGTTTGGGATCCTCGCTGGCTAACATGTTAAATATGGGCGCTGGCCGAAATATGAATCGATTGGTATCCCAAGGGGAGTGCCACGGTTGGCGTTTGGGGGGGGGGGCCCGCCGATGTTGGAATGATCTGGGTCCCCAGAGGGGCTCTCTCTCCCTCGGAGGAGGAGGAGGAGGAGGACCAGGAGGAGGAGGAGGAGGGGGAGGAGGAGGAGGAGGGGGAGGAGGAGGAGGAGAAGCAGGAGGAGGAGGAGGAGGAGGCGGAGGAGGATGAGGAGGGAGGAGGAGGAGGAGGGGAGGAGGAGGGAGGAGGGGAGGAGGAGGAGGAGGCTATCGCCCCTCTTGACAGCGCAGATGCCAGAACTTATGCCTGCACGCACACACGCATACCCCGAAAGCCGACGTTTCGAACAAAATCGCACATCCTGAAAAATCACGGCCGGAACTCCAGACCCCATCTTGCTGCGGCATTTCTCAAGCCTGATCGATTCGCGATGGTCCTAGAGCCCGAAAGCGGGCGAAACCGCCAGTGTAAAAGAGTGCAGCCCCAGGATCTCAGCGATCGTGCTCGTCCTCCACTCGCCCTCGCCTCACTCCGTCGCGCGCGCCGCGGAGGAGAAGTGCCTGCACCGCCTGCTCTTCCGGCCCTGGCCGCGCGCCGTGCGCCTCTTCGGCGAGCTGCTCCACCGCGACGAGCTGTGGCGCGCGATGGGCACCGGCGCGGCGCCCCCGCCTCACGCGCGAAGGTCACCACGACGACGACAGACAGACGCCGACGACGACGACAGCAGCGAACGAGCAGACGAACGAGCAGACCAAAACCGACGGCCGACGCCTTCCGCGCGCATGTCACCACGCCGCCGACGACGACGACGACGACGACGACGACGACGACGACGACGACGACGACGACGACGACGACGACGACCGACGATCGACGACCGACGACCGACGACCGACGACCGACGACCGACGACCGATGACCGATGACCGACGACCGACGACCGACGACCGGCGACCGACGACCGACGGCCGACGACCGACGATCGACGACCGACGACCCACAACCGACGGCCGACGACCGACGACCGACGGCGGACCGACGACGACGACGACGACCGACGACGACGGTCGGACGACGACCGACGACCCGACGACCGACGACCGACGACCGACGACCGACGACCGACGACCGACGACCGACGACCGACTGACCGACAACCGACGGTGACCGACGACCGACGACCGACGACCGACCGCCGACCAACGACGACGACCGACGACCGACGACCGACGACCGACGACCGACAACCGACGACCGACGACGACCGACGACGACGACCGACGTCGACGACCGACGACGATCGACCGACGACGAGACGACCGACGAGCGACGACGAACGACCGACGACCGACGACCGACCGACGACCGACGACCGACGACCGGTGACCGACAACCGACGGTCGACGACCGACGACCGACGACCGACGACCGACGACCGACGGACGACGGTCGACGACCGACGATCGATGACCGACGACCGACCGACGACCGACGACCGACGACCGACGACCGACGACCGACGACCCGCGACCGACGACCGACGACCGACGACCGACAACCGACGACGCAAGACGACGACGATGACAAACGCCGACAACGACGCCGACGACGACAGCATCGAACGAACAGACGAACTAGCGGACGACGACCGACGGCGACGACGGACGAACCTTGATCCTAGACAGTCGACGAGCCTCGGCACGGTTCCGCGTAGACTTTGCGTCGAATCCCAGGGAATCCAAAACCTACGAAAGAATGGCGCGGCCTTCAGTTTCCTGGAGGTATTTTTGTTGTATTGCCCCAAACAGTGCTTGCACTTAGGAGTTCTTACTTCGCTTCTCGCTTTTAGGAACTGGGCCCGTTCACGACCGGGGGAGCGCAAGACCCGGGTTTCCCAGGGCTCGGGTTCGCCATCGTTTTTTGACGACCGCGTCTCGGATTTTGACGAGTAGGAGTTTCGTGGGATGTCTGCAGCGGGAGGCCTCGTCAAAATGCAGGCTCGGCCTCGTCATTTTTTTGACGACCTCATCGGGGATTTCCGAGTCCCCTGTGCCCGGGTCTTACGCCCCCCTGACACGACCCCGTTCACGTCCGATGCCATAGCATTTTTCCGAATACAAGCCCGTGCGTGGCCCTGGCGGCCCCGGTTCCCGTCCGTCACCGCCACCCCGTGGCATTGCCCCGCCTTGCATTGCAGTGGAATGTCATTGTAATCGTATTGCGTTACTTTGCAGTCGCACTGCGATGCATTGCCTGCAGTGCTGCGCACTGCAATCGCATTGCTTTGCAATCGCATTGCTTTGCAATCGCATTGGATTGCATTGCGTCAGAGTCGCATTGCGCTGCTTTGGATTGCGTCGCACCGTTGCATCACATTGCTTTGCATTGCTGCGCATTGCATCGCATTGCATCGCATTCCCTTGCTTTGTATTGGTGTGGATTGCTTCGCATTGGTTTGCATTGTTTTGTATTGCTTTGCATTGCTTTGGGTTGCTTCGCATTGCTTTGCATTGCTTTGCACTGCTATGCATTGCTATGCATTTCATTGCTTTGTATTGTTTTGCATTGCTTTGCAATGTCATTGAGTTGCAATCGCATTGCGTTGCTTTCGATTGCGTTGCATCGCTTTGCATTTGTTTGCAGTGCTGTGCATTGCTCAGCATAGTTTTGCATTGCTGTGCAGCGTTGTGTATTGATGTGCATTGCTTTGCATTGCTTTGAATTGATTCGCATTGCTTTGCATTGCATTGCATTGCGTTGCATTGTTTTGTATTGCTTTGCATTGTGTTGCAATGCATTGCTTTGCATAGATTTGCATTGCGCTGCCTTGCTGGGCATTTCATTTCATTGCATTGCATTGCTTTGCATTGCATTGCTGTGCATCGCTTTGTGCTGCTTTTCTTTGGACTTTGTTTTATTGCGGCGCATCGCTTTGCATCGTTTTGCATTGTTTTGCATTGCGTTGCATTGCTTTGCGTTTTTCTGGCACGGACATGAATTATCCATCCTGAAATGAGAACAGATTGTACGGTCGAGCATATGATTAAGACGCCTCCTCCCGAAAAGCTGGGCCAGCGTTTCCTTACCAACTTGCCATGAAGCTGGCTCAGTTTCTTGAGCCCGTTCGCCCCTCCGGCGTGAACAACATAACTTGGCCCAGGTTCGCTTGAAGAGACTCAGAAAGCCAAGGGCTTCCACGAGAGCGCGAAGCTATTCTCGCTTCGCGCTTCGCGGTCCTCGTTCCCCCTCCCCCTCCTCCACGTCCTCCTTTCCTCCCGTTGGGGGGGCGGCGCGAGAGCGCGAAGTTATTCGCGCTTCGCGGTCCTCGTTCCTCCTCCCCCTCCTCCACGTCCTCCTTTCCTCCCGTTGGGGGGGCGGCGCGAGAGCGCGAAGTTATTCGCGCTTCGCGGAGCGCGAAGCGCGACGTTGGGAGCCCTTGGAAAGCTGGCCCAGGTTTCTTACACGATGATGTTCTTAATCATCTGTTCGGCTGTAGCCCCCCCCCACCCCGGGATTATCAAAATATCACAGTACCGATGATACTGCCTCCCCATCAGTTTTGGCACGTGAGTTCAGATCAAAACATCCCAGGGGATCCCCTTACCGACTCCCCCTCCCCTCATCCTGTCAGTTTGTATTATGCGCGCACACTCGAAAAGACGCTTGTCAAGCATCCCTCGGCAAACAAGCCCTTTCGAACAGCTGATAAAATCCACACGCACGCGCATGTCGAAATCATATCAGACATTTCATGCCTGCGATGTTGAAAGAAGACCTCCTAGGCTTTTAGCCACACAGCTTGCAAATGTTCTGCCCGCGCGCACTTGCTGAAGCCGCATCAAAACCATCTGATTTTAGCAATGCCGCTCAAACGATGCCATGCAGGCCACGCGCGCGCCGCAAAACGCGAGCGTGGCGAAAACCGGCCGAAACCATTGGTCTTCGAAGGAATTCCAGACAGAGCTGTTCAAAACGTGCGAAAAAAACGGCATGTCTGTTGACAACAAATATATAGACATGTTACCAGGGCTCTTGGATTTCCGCGCGCGCACATCCTCACCATCACCCTCACCAGCGTCGCCGCATCACGTCATCGTCTTCGGCAATCGCCGCCATTGTCATCGTCATCAGCGTTACCAACATCGGCGCCGCCATTGGCCTTGCCGTCGTCATCGTGATCATCGCCAACACCATCGCTATTATCATCATCGCTGCCGCCGTTGTCAACGTCATCATGATACCGGGCCCGCCAGATCCACCGACCCGCATTGAAGTGCCCGCGCGCCAGCGCGGCCTTTGACACGCGCTGGGACGTTGCCACCGGTAAGCGCCATCGCGGCCGCATCTGCTGAACCAGCCGGCCGCTTTGCGCGAGATTGCGCTTGCCAGCGCGGCCGTAGAGATGCGCCAGCCATGGCCAAGCAGTCATCGCAATCTCCGCCGCATGGGTTTTGCAAATCAAGCTGCGGGTGAAGGATGGGATGATTGCGCGAGCAGTGGAGTTGACAACTTCAGGTTCAGCAAGTTGGATTGCACCGCTTAGATTGGGCCGCGTACACTGCAAGAATCATTGTTTGGGGCCCACGCTGGCTAACATCTGAAAGCTTCCTTTATCAAGAGCTTGAGGCTCGACTTCCAGAGTGGAGGTTCTCGAGCCTCTGGGCAAAAGACTCGGCGATGAAGACACGACTTCGGGGAGGTTCTGGATGGCACGGATGGATTCGAAAGAGCGGCACGGATGGAGTCTGGCATCGGGGGACGAAATCTATACATATCCACTGCTCTCTGGCCAGGCCCATCCTGAACCCAGGAGCTGTGTATACGCCCTCCTGGCCAAACCAGGAGGGCGTGGCGTATACAGGGCTGCTGTGTTCAGGATGGGCCTGGCCAGGGAGCAATGGATATGTATAGATTGCGTCGCCCTTTGGCAGGGGCGTTTGGGGACTCGTCTTGAGCTGACCTGTCGAGCAGCCGCCATAGGGAATGGGGGGGCCCCGGGGCCTCTTGTCGTCCTTGGCCGCCAGGAGCCCGGCCCGCGCCCTTTGGGCTGCCAACGCATAGCGACCTGAGCTGAAAGACTTGGCCCCGGCCGGGGGGGGGGAGGGGGCCTTACTCCCCAGACCCCCTCGAGTTATGAAAAAATCACGACGGGAGTTTTTTCACTATTTTTGGCTTTTGGGGGCCCTTACCGGCCCTCGGGACCGTCAATAAACGACTCAGGACGAAAAACCGGTCCCGGGGAATGGGTCGAGACCTCGGGGGGTCGACGTCATGAAAAAATCATGGCGTCGGGGGTCTGGGTCTGGATACGCCCTACTTTGGGCGACGGCGTACAAAAGCGCGGAAAACGCCGCTCTATTTTCCAGGCTCCTGTGCTGTCGAGTTCCGCCCCGCCTTGCCGTCGCACCCCCCCAGCTGTTATGTGGGTTGCAGTCTGCTCAACGATGCGCTGTCAACCAAACCTGCAGGGTGGACCTTTTCAATTGCTTTGGTTTCGGCTTCAGCTGTGGATGCGCCGTGAAGCGCCTTCAGGCCAGTTCACCCGAGTCGGTTTTCCCCTCGCATGGGTTCCCCCCCCCCTCCCTCGCCCCCCCCCCTCATGTATCGCCCCCTTCCCTCGCCCCCCCCTTCCCTCGCCCCCCTTCCCCCCACCCTCGCCCCTCCCCCCCCCCCCTCATGCATCGCCCCCTTCCATTCGGCACAACGCCCAGTCATTCTGCACCTTGAGCTTCAGGGAAGGCCGAGCGTATCCCAGGGACCGACGCTGCACGCCCTGGGCAGGGGCCCCCGTGGGCCCACCTCGGGCGGGGCCCTCGGGGTCAGGTCTCGGCTTATGTCGGGCGTGTCCCCGTACAGGGGGATTTTCGACGAAAAATATAAAATATCCCCAAAATACCCCCAAAAGGTCCAATGTTTTTTATTTTTCGTCGAAAAATCCCCCTGTAGGAGGACAGGCCCGACCTGAATTCGATTCGTCCGCCCCTCTCAATCATTTTGGGGGGTCCGCGGGGGAGGGGGGATTTTTTTTTCAATCGCTTCCCCCCATTAAGTCTCGGCGCACGCCCGCGGCTGGAACCGTCATCTTCGTCGTCGTTGTCGTCCACCCCTTCGCCGCTATCGTCAGTCGTAGTCTTAGTCGTCGTCGTCGTCGTCCTCGTCGTCGTCATTGTCGTCGTCATTGTCGTCGTCGTCGTCGTCCTCGTCGTCGTCGTCGTCGTCGTCGTCGTCGTCGTCGTCGGCCCCGCGGACGCGCCGCGGGGGGCCACGGCGCCCCCGGAGGGGTGCGCCCGGCGCCCCCCGAGACCGAGGCCTCCGCGAGGCCCTGCTCGGGCTCGGGGCGCGGCCCCCGGACGCCCCGACCCTCCCCCTCTCCTCCTCCTCCCCCTCCTCCTCCCCTCTCTCCTCCTCCTCCTCCTCCTCTTCCTCCTCCTCCTCTCCCTCCTCCTCCTCCTCCTCCTCCTCCTCCTCCTCTCCTCTCCTCCTCCTCTCCTCTCCTCCTCCCCCTCCTCCTCCCCTTCCCCCCTCCTCCTCCTCCTCCTCCCTCCTCCTCTCTCCTCCTCCTCCTCCTCCCTCCACAATTAACTCAATATGAATACTACTTTCCTCTTTCCCTGATGACGGAATGGGAGTAGCCGACCCCCCCCCCGTGTACTTTTACAGAGGTTTCCCGGGAGTTGAGTTTTCGCCTGCATTTGTTTCCAAAATGCTGCTCTCGCTGAGGCGCCGGCCTCATTTTCGGGCCCCGCTCGTTCCGAATCGTGCTCCCGCTGCAGCGTGGGTCTCATTTTCGGATCGGTGTTTTGCCTCCGTCGTTCAGGATGGCGTTCTCGCCCCAGCGCGGGCCTCTTTCTCGCGCGCCCATCCGCCCGCCACCACCGCACCGCGCCCCGCCCCGCCCACCGCCACTTCCACCCACCAACGCACGCACGCACGCACGCACGCGCACCACCACCACCACCCCACTACCCCACCCACCACCACCACGCTACACCGCGTCACACCACATCACACGCGCGCGCACACAGACACACACGCACGCACACACACATACACACGCACACACACACATAACACACACACACACTACACACACACACACAACACACACACACGCACACACACCACCACCACCGCCACCACCACCACCGCCATCACGCACGCACGCACCTGGCCCACCACCAAACCACCAAGACGCCACACCACGTCACACCACAGCACACGCGCACACACGCACACGCACACCACACACCACACCACCACCACCACCACCACCACCACCACCACCACCACCACCACCACCACCAACCATAACCACAACCACGCACACACGCACGCACGCACGCGCACCACCACCCACTACGCACGCGCGCGCGGAGCCACAGGTCCGCTACGACACGCGTCCGCGGATAGAGAAAATCAGCGCCATGGTAAGGGATGGGAGGGAGGGGTAGGACGTCAGATATGACGCGAGCGCACATAGCTTGTTCCTCCTCCCCCTCCTCCTCCTCCTCCTCCTCCTCCTCCTCCTTCTCCTCCTCCAAACCAAGTGCCCATCGACTCCAGGTTCCCGTTCAGAAGATCAACCATCTTGACTGGACCCTGGGCGTTTTCTCTGAGCTTTTTGGCGTCCGCCGCATCTTCGTATGCCTGGACCTGGACTGCCACTCCAGGGAACGCCTGGAGTGAAGTTCCTTCCCTTGGCTTAGTCTTTTCTCAACTCTGAGCAGGCGTGTAGACCCCGAGGAGGGGCCCTCGGGGCCAGGTCTCGGCACGCGCCGCGGCTGCAGCTGGGGCCCCTGCGACGCCTCCCTGGGGGTACAGGCCTCGGAAAAAAATAGCGAACACTCATGCCACATTCATCTGTGAACGCCTCCCCCTCCCCCCAATGTTCAAAGTTGGCGGTGGGTCTGATGAGTTGCACCTCGACCGCAGTCTCCCCCGCGCGTGCCAACTTTGAGTTTTGGGGGCAGGGGGGGGTGTTACCTAATTGTTTCCCTCTACCGTACGTCACCCTGGAGGTGCGTCTGCCCTGACTCTGGATCCGCAGTGCTCTGGTGGATCCTCCGACTTGAACTGTGCCGGAAACGCACCCCAGCCGATGTGAAAAAGTAGGGCGGGCATTTCTTCCTCAGAAAGTAGGGCGGCTGTTTCAGTAAACAGTTGTAGGGCGGAAGCTGCGATGTCAAAGTGGGGGGGCGGACATCGACATCAAAGGAGCCTGAAAAGCAGGGCGGAAATTTCCGCCCCACCTGCGAAATCGCCCACAGCACCGCGGATTCGGAGCCAGGACTCCCACGACCCAGACATCGGATGACCTGCTTCTGCTCAAAGCGCGGCGACGCACTGGATCTTCGCTGCATGAGCCATGCAGGTGCGCGCGATCGCCTGGCCTGTTCTACGCCGCGCCGCCGCGTGCGTGGCCGCGGCGCCAGAGATTATGGTTCGAGGCGCGGCCCCTGGAAGTCCCGACCCTCTCCGACTCCCCTCTGCGTCCTGCGTCGCCCTCTGACGCTCCTTGGGGCCCCGCACGGGCCCCTGGAGTCCGAAACGGGACAACAAGTTGGCGAGCAGGCTTGGCTTTCGGGTCATGACCCGGGTCGCCCCCAGGACGCGCCCGGCGAGGCGCAGCTGCTGGAGAGCACCCGGAGGCCGCAAGAGCCGCCAGGAGCTTACGACAAAGCGTCCGGCAACCGCGGGACCCGAGTCTCGCGGGGGTGAGGAGGCCGCAAACCTCGGGCCCCGAAACCCGGGAAGGACCTCCGCTCTGGTTGCTTCAAGACGCACTTGTGCGACGTCCTGTCTTCGACGCACTGATCCGCACTTCGAGACCCAGACCCCCGACGTCATGATTTTTTCATGACGTCGACCCCCCGAGGTCTCGACCCATTCCCCGGGACCGGTTTTTCGTCCTGAGTCGTTTATTGACGGTCCCGAGGGCCGGTAAGGGCCCCCGAAGGCCAAAAATAGTGGAAAACCTCCCGTCGTGATTTTTTCATAACTCGAGGGGGTCTGGGGACGCTCCGGTTGTCCGATGCCCGGGTCGGCGCTGCCCGGCCGTGCTCGCGCGATGTGCGCGTCGGCCATGCCAGGGCGACGCGCGCGTTCGGACATCGTAGGTAGCAGCAGCTTCGTTGCTCCAGCCTACTGTAGCCTTGATCACTAGGAAGAACTTCGAGCGCCCCAACAAGTACCGAAACTCAAGGGTTTCCGCGTGTCGGGCCCTGGGCGACACTCGCCCGACACTCTTTCGACGCTCTCTCTACACTTGTCCAGGTGATTTCTGGGATGTGGTCCTTAAGTCCGACGGGAACAACATATCACCACCCACCAAACCACCCCAACCCAACCCGAAGGGTCAGATTTACCCTCGATTTCTAGTGGGGGGGTGTCCGGGAACATCGAAAAAACACGTATGGAGCCCATACCCCCCCCAACCCGAAATTCGGGTCTTCGGGTTGGGTTGGGGTGGTCTGGTAGGTAGTCAACATAAGTCTGGGGAAGGATCTGCAACAAGATGCTTGTGCCACATGTTCGCTTCATATCGGGCGTGCGCCCCCAGGGGAGGCGCACGGTGTGACGGCAGAGGGAGACAATCGGTGGACACCCCCCTCCTCCTCCTCCTCCTCCTCCTCCTCCTCCTCCTCCTCCTCCTCCTCCTCCTCCTCCTCCTCCTCCCCCTCCTCCTCCACCCTCCTCCTCCCTCCTACTCCTCCTCCCTCCTCCTCCTCCTCCTCCTCCTCCTCCCCTCCTCCTCCTCCTCCTCCTCCTCCTCCTCCTCCTCTCCTCCTCCTCCTCCTCCTCCTCCTCCTCCTCCTCCTCCTCCTCCTCCTCCTCCTCCCCCGCACCCCCAAAGTCAAAACTGGCACGCGCGGGGAAGGCTGCGGTCGAAGTGCAGCTCGTTCAGCCCACCACCAGCATGGATCCTTGGGGGGGGCATCGACAGATGAAGATGGCATGACTGTTCCCCAATTTCTTCCGAGGCCTGTAGCATGCCTTCCATCGTCCGACCCGGGGGGGGGGGCCGAAAGAGCAGGTCGCCCAGCCTGGAGGAGGTGAAGCGGCTGCTCTGCGCCGCCTTCGCCACCAGCAGCGGCGACGTGGCCTTCCAGGCGGAGGGGCCCTTCCGCTGGCGCGTGGCTCTCAAGGGGCCCCGCGGCACCCCGTACGGGGAGGGCGTCTTCTGCCTGGACGCCATGAGGGGGGCAACAAAACCGACGACGACGGCGACGACGACGCCGACCAAGACGGACGATGACGACGCCGACGACGCCGACGACGACAACGACGACGACGCCGACGACGCCGACGACGACGACGACGACCACGACGACGACGACGCCGCTGACGCCGACGACGCCGACGACGTCACGACGACGACGACGACAACGACCACGACGACGGGAAAGGTTCGACCCCTACTCTGGAAGCTCGTTCCTTCCCTCCATTCTGGATGCTTCCTTCTCCGAGGTGGAGGGTCCACCTCCAGAATGCAGGCTTGGGAGGCTCGGCGTCCAAGGATAAAGGTTTTCGGACGTTGCGCCTCTTGGGGCCTACGAGGTGCGGGCGAGCATGCCGATACGGGTACCCCTCCTTCTCGCTCGCCTCTTGTCGGGGGAGCGCAAGACTCGAGCTCACCGGAGCTCGGGTGTGCCTATGCGTGTTCCGACGGGCCCGTCCCGAACCTTGACGGCCCAGTTATCGTGGGGGTCTGCAGCGAGAGCTCGCGCCAAGAGGGGAACAAGAAGTGACATAAACATAAAGACTCGGAGGTCCGCGCGGAT